AGGGTCACATAACTTCCGCGGTCGTAACAATATTTTGTAACCTAATTTGTCTTGTTTGTATGAAAACAACAGCAACAAAATATATTTACTGAAGACGTATAATACTGATCCTTTAAAAAAAAATCGATGAGAATGAATTACAGATATACAACACAAGCATTCGTTCAGTTGTAAAAGGATATTTTGTAACGTAATTTGTCTTCTTTGTATAAAAACAACAGCAACAAAATATATTTACTGAAAACTTATAGCGGCATGTTAATATTTGTATAGTGTAATTGTCATTAAATATCTGGTATATTGAATTAGTCTGAACACTATGTGCATAACAGGTTAATAATTGGACAAAATGTGCGTTTGTATTTGTTCGATTCAGGAATAAAATTAATGTTTCTATTGATAATTTGTGTTCAGAACTATACGTGAGAATAGGATGATGATTTCTGTAGATATTAATTTAACGTCACACATATTACAAGCCACAGTCCAGCTGATAACAATAACAGCTGTCGTGGAGGCAGATTGCCCAGTAATTATTTTAGGATCTTGTTTAATGTGTCCTGGAGCATAAAATATTGTCTGATTCATTTATAACTTGTTTCATGACATGAGATTCAGCAAATAGCAATTTCAAAAGTTTTTTGTCGGTTTATTGAATTCTGAAGTGCAGATTTTGGTACTGAAATTGGAGTAGTAGGGAGAAGTACATGACAATGTACTTGTGAGTGGGCCGTGTACTGCATGCTCACGTGACTACATAAAGTGTTTTGAAATTGAAGAGATTATTGAATGGGCAAATAATTGAAATTAAACTTTGTAGCTTAATATGAATAATAGTTATTTTTTTATTGATAATAACTGTTGTGAGTGCAGCTGTGGATAAAGTAGATTGTTAGTCTAATTGTACCCCATATTGTAAAAATTAGATACTCGAAGTCTAACTTCTAATTCTAACGTCCAAGCATAGATTTACCTTTATTGACTTTTAATTTACAATTTAAATAATCGACTTTTCAAAAGCAAAGGTCTAAGGAGAAATAATAGTTACACGTACTGAGTGTACTAAACAAAATTAATTTTGCACTAAAGTAAATTTAATAAATAGTAAAATAGTTTCCAGTCTTAACATTATGGCAGGGGAAAATACAGATGCAGGGGATAGCTACTCTACAGTGGTGAGTGTATTTTCTATTATTCCAGTTTTTTTTACAAGTTGTAGTTTAACGTTAAGTTATTTTTAATAAAGCTGGTGTTTTATTACTGTACATTACATACTTGTACAATGTACATTGTTGTTGTTGTAAATCTTGACATTTTAAACTGTGACAAAGTTATAACCATTTGTATGACAGTACCCATCAAAATGTCTTTATGTTTAAGAAATGTAGCTGAGAAGAACACTTCATAATAAATAACATAATGTTTGTACAAAATAATTTAAAATGAATGGTATGAACTGTTATATTTTATTTGCTAAAAAATAATTTGTCAATAGTAGAGGTAGAATAGGATCCCCATCTAGTAATTAGGGGGAGATACTTAGTGTTCGCCAACTGAATTGTGATAAGAATTACCAACTAATTTGTGCAAGTTTATGATTAACATTTAGACATAAAATTTATTAGAGGCTTGGGAAAAATAAGGGTATTATTTTTTTTAATACATTTGTTCTTTTTATTTCACCCATTAATATGATTTAAGGTATTTGGTTTTATTAAATCACTTAGGATGTTATACTATTACTATTAGCACATGTTGGGGGCTGACAGGTAATTATTTTTGTATTCATTTTA